TAAAAAAGACATCTTTACATTTAACTCGATTATACGGCATTTTTACCAAAAATAGTCCCTAATAAGAAGATTTGTAAAGGAATTTTACGTTTTAGGTTCTGGAACACTACTGGATGAAATATAGTCAAGCGAGAAATACAGAACACATTAGAAATATCTTACTTATATAATAAATGCTAAAGTTTAGATGGATGGATGGATCTCAATGAAATCTGTCATAGGTGTAGTGCAGTGTCTGTAAGAACAAATAGGCTACTCGCTTTTGTTTTTTTTATTCCACTCGGACGAATTCGCGGGCTAAAGTACTACAATAAAATACCTCACTAACGTTAAAAATACATCTTAACTTTACCTTCCTATTCTCTTATTATCGGCTCATACCCACCGAGGGGGTCGAACCTGCCCCTTGTTAGTGTTCACAATCATCGTTGAGTTGATTCCCAGATATGTGTAGGTTTTATCTCGATGTTTACCCTCTTGGGTACTTCTAATAATAAAGATTCCGTGGGTGGTACGTGGGCAATTAAAATCGATACCATTTTCCAGTGATTACTAAACTCGAGCCAGTTTTCTGTATGTGAAGTTATTTAAGTTTGTGCGGAGGTTCCACGGGGCCGCCTACACATTGGCACGCATCAACGCACAGTCCTCATCGATTAATCGCCAATACAGTGCTGATTGCTTCCTACATAATAAAACGGGACATCGTTTGACCGCGATACTCGTTCTATATTCTCACGGCATATTACATTTTAGACTTTTATATATAAGAGGGAAATACATAACTGACTGGCTCATTTTACGTAGCTATAAAATATTTTTAATATTACAGATTTTCTTTTGTGAATTTTTATACGAGCTATTTCATCGGCATCTGAGTTACAGGTGGGACAAATGTATGATCATTAGGAATACTTCAACATTTTTATTTAAATTTCACTATACCTTATATGCTACTGTGGTAAAATTGTACAATCGTAACAATACACATGACGTTCATGTTCACTGTTTGGATATATATTTACGATACTGATCTTTGAGATAGCAAGAAATATCAAGTTATCGCAATTATTTGGTCGCAAAGACGTCGGTAGCGAAGGGAGTTCGCCATCGGCATGTAGAAGGGCCCGACAGCGTCTGGCATTGAACTCTGTAGGGTGTCTGCCACCCCAATTTTACCGTCGCCCTTCTACAGACTATTTACGACGATCTATGTACTTTCTAACATGTACATGCTATAGACGTGCAAAACAATAATATTTATATAATCTATTGTAAAATAAATTTCCACACATCTTTGTATATCTCATGTCGATCGAATAACGAAAAGTAATAAACAGATAATTAAATTCCTTAAATGGACAATTTCCTTATCCATTTATTTCAAAATGTGAATTGCATTAGTAAACACTTCTTAATTATCCGTCATTCATTTGTTTGTATTTCACAGGACTATAATAAAAGACCTAAACATGTGTCAATGTATTTGAGTTCTTTGTCGCTAAATAAAGTCGATCGGCGAGAGATATATAAACTTTGTATGGCGGTTTAGCACTTGACCGAGACCGATCGCGAATCCCACTGACCACATCTAGTTACGTAACTCGATGATTAAAATGTTGAAATCCTGTCAGGGCCGACGCGGTAGGCGTTGTTTTTGTCGCGCTCGACCGCTCGTTTCTAATCGCCTTTACAACTGCGTAATCTTATTCACGATTCACAATCATTCACATTATCAATTGTACACAAGTTGTGTACGAAAACTTCTACAAATATTTGTATGAATGAACAAACGCATACTTTGTTTAATTTTTAGCTATAACATCTATTCAATTATCACTTGGAAATAAATAATAATCACACGGAAATACTACGACTAGTTGCGTTTTGTACAGATGTAGTAGTTTTTGGAATGCCTTTGCTATAAATATATTTGAAACCTATTACTCATTGAGGATAATCATGTCTAATGAGGTAAGTTGCTTTGAAATGCACAAGATTAGATTAGGATTTGTTAGACGTGAGGATTTATAAATAACAATAACTGGTTTTATGACATTTTTTATGCATGTACCTATTGTGTACTTTGCACTTATAAGTACCGCTTATAGATTAAGGTAGACAGTATCTTTGATTTTAATTTTTTATCCCAATATGTTCTAACGTCGATTATTATGTATATAAACATGAGAATTAGTTTAAACATGGCAAAACTCGTATTCAAACTTGTACACAAGTTTCGCGCAAAGGTAAATATAATTAAAGAATCACAAATATTTACCTTTCAGAAGTATATTATTGTGCCAGAGTGGGGTTTGCTGTGATGCCTATTGATCCGTGCCACCAGGTTACGAGACCAAAGAGTCCCGGGCAAGCTGTCCAACAGACCCTGGCTGGACTAACACTGGCACAACACTAGACGTTGACACAGGCACCAAAATTTAGACACATCCAATTGTAATACACTCCAATGCGGATTATAAATGTTATCGTTTTAGCTCGTCTTCCGTTCGATAAGATACGTATTAAATTCGGTACACGTTACGCGTGTTGCGGTGTTTCGAGACACGTCCGACCCGCGCGGTGTCCACAGCTCGAGTGACGTAGATGGGTCGGGCGCTGGCTACGCATCCGCCCGCAGCCCGCTACGGAAAAACGAACGCTACGTACGAATTTTCCATCCTATAAATAACGTGAATCAGAAAAAGTGATAGTTCAATGAAAATGAAATTAACAGTTATACACCGTTTACTACTGCGCACGTAATAGAAAACAAATCAATCACGCAATTGAGAGTTTCTAGATATAATTTGCATGCAAATAATGATCCAAGTTGTTATTTACCAACCGTTGTTATTACAACAATCGCCACATCATTATGTTTACTATCAGATAATACGTTACAAAACTTAATAAATAGGATGAATAATGAAATAGAAAATCAACATATAACCTAAACGTATGTATCATGAAATGTAAAATAGCAGGGCCTTAAAGCGGACGCGAGGTCCAGAGTGTCATCAGGAGAAAAAAGATTTGTGGATAACGATGTTAATTATAATACCAATTGAAATCTAATTATAACAGATTTTCCAACATTTTTTACTCTTCGTTCAAGTGGTCACACTTTATCATTTGTGTCCAATAGCCGTTTTAGCCTGAGAACGGATTCACCCATGTGTGGTCTCACATGAAATGTACCGCTCGGCTGCGTTACGCCTTTGAACCCAGTTTAGCCTCACCTTTCAAGGTTGTTACGCAGATTTATATTTCACTCGTAAACATTGCAAAGTTAAAATTACCTAATAAATTAGACGATTCAATTATTCGGTAGTAATCTTCAAACACTACTGTTTATCTCGATAATGTTTCTAAGACAATTTACACAATGTTATTATACAAATTCTTACTTTTTTACTATTATAAGCAATTTTGTGTAAACAAAGTTTGGTGGTCCCAAACAAACTTTGTTTTCAATACGGGCTGTCAAGTGCCTACTGACCTGAATTTCCTTTGACATACAAACTTTTTGGTCATTATTTTATAACAGCGAAGTATAAATTAAACCACTTAACAATTTTAATTATTTAAAAAGGAATGGAGAAATCACAAGTTAACATTGAAACTAATTAATTAAGACTTGAAGTTCAGATTTGGTAGTTAGCAAAATATGGTTTAGTCGCAAATAATATTGTAATTATACTATCTATACTAATATAATAAAGCGTAAACACACACTACTTCGTGGCGTCATGTCATCAATTACAGCATATTTTGGAATAATTCCTTCTTTAATAAAGAGCCCTACACCTAAGACACGCTATAGGCTATATATTTCCACGCTATTAAACTTAGGTAAATAAATTGGAAAAGAAATGTGGGAAATAATGTGGGAAAGGGATCAAAAATTTTAAAAATGTAAACAATAAAATGAAAAAAAATTATAATTTCACGCGGAAGAAGCCGCACGGGAACATCTTGTATGTACTAAAATAACAATTTATTATGATTTATTACTGCATATGTCTTTTGCCACATCTCACGGTTAATTCTTAAAATCAATGCTTTATAATATAATAGCGTTATTAATGATAAAAATTTAATAAAACCTGTCCTTTGTAAAACATATCTTTCTTTCTATAATCTTAACATGAACAATTCAACGATTTCAAAACACATGAATAATCGATAAAGGACTGTCTTCAACAATGTGTTTTGGTTGAATTTGTTCGAGGCTAACTCATACTTTTTAAACTAAAATTCGATAAGTAAACTATTTTTATTTAAAACGTGATATCAGGAGTTTGTCTATACTAATACTCATCATCATCTCGCCTGCCTTATCCTACTCCCGTAGGGTCGGCGCACCGGGTTTTCGTCCTCCAAAGCATTCTATCATCCGTCATCTCAGTCATCTCTCCCTTCTTGATCATGTCACCTTTCACGCAATCCATCCATCTCTTTCTAGGTCTACCTCTACCGATGTACCCCTCCACATTCATAGCTAACATCCTTCTAATACATAATTGTCTATACTAATACTATAAAGGGGAGAGATTTGATTGTTTGAATACTAAATTATTGACAAAAAAAATTCCTCCATTATTAAAAAGCTTGATTATCACTATATAACATCTAAATTAATATTATAAAGAGGAAAGATTTGTATTTTTGGGTTTTGGTATGTATTGAAATAACTCAAAAACTACTAGGCTAATGTCAAAAATTCTTTCACCATTAAAAAGCTACGCTATCAGTGTGTAACATAAGCTATATTTGTTAATTTCACGCGGAAAAAGTCGCGAGCAACAGCTAGTAGACTATATTTCATTAAAACTAAATTTAAACAGCGTATTTCTGTAAAAACCACTTAGGTTTATTGTATAAAACTAGTTTTAAGTTGATTTTGTATAGTTAAAAAAAATAACATAGATTTTGCATATCTTAAAATATTTTTTTTATTTATCGGGATAAAATTTAATTCTAAACCTGCAACTTACCTTAAGCATGGTGAGTATCTTCTGTGAGAGTTCGTAATCAAAGTTGGTGTACTTAGAGTCCGTCATGTCGTAGATGAAGACCAGGCCCGCGCGCTGCGTCTCCAGCGACTGCAGAGCTACATCCAGCTGGTATACCACGCCCTGCACAACGGACAATCACTGTTACCACTCAGAGAGCATTGCCGATATTTGCTATTTTTATATACGTTTTTTGGTTTAATTTTTGTTTTTTAGAAGCTTGAATTATTGTTATTTTTATTATTATCCGTAATTTAATTAATACTAGCTTTAGCCCGCAACATCGTCCGCGTGCAATTAAAATATAAAAAAGTGATTAGCCTATGTTCCAGACTATCCTCTACGTTTTTGCCAAATTACATCGAGAACCGTTTAACAGTTTAGGCTACAAGCTCTAAAAAACATCCATCCATTCATCCATCTAAACTTTCGCATTTATAATATTTGTAAGAAGTAAGTTTGTAAGAAGTAAGTTTGTAAAAAGTAACATTTACATTTTTGTATGTATTGAAATAACTCAAAAAAAGGATTCGTTTTCAAAAATTCTTTCAGCAATAAAAAGCTTTTCTACTATTTATTAATTTCACGCAGATGAAGTTGCGACCAACAGCCAGTATTTTTGTTCGTGTTGCTACACTACACTTTAAGTACATTATTGTAAAATTTATTTCTCAATGCCATTGTCCTTGTTTCCTTCATTTCCAAGCATTAGGGGAGAACTTTAGTGTAAGAATAATTAAGATTATGTGCACTAAAACACTGCAATAACTTTTAAATCGCTTTAAGCATACTTATCTTGACTTCTGATTGAATTTATTACAGCGCCATCTATTATCAAAACAACAAAATCGGAAAGAAAAAAGTAATCTGTGACAAAAGCACACCCTTGTTTACGAACGTAGATAAATTAGTTAAAAGAATACTATAACATTGTCATTTAAAAAATAATAGCCAGTATTTTCAAAGTAGTTGATGCAAGTGCTATCGAGCGAGCATAAAGCATTGACGTCGGTAAGCCGATTTTGAACGTAATCTTATTACGGTAAAAGGTAAAATGAATCAACGCATCAGTTAATTAAATGAAGTTGGTAAGCTCTTAGCATTTCAACACCACGTCACTTCGCATACATTAACTTTTTTTTTTCATTAAACTAAAAGGCTTTAATATGAATTAAAAAAAAACACCATACAGTACATTCTTAGAACACTATCATTTTCATCACAATCTGTGCAATGGTTTAGAAACGTTTACGGTACAAATATCTTTCATTCAACCTTCCATTACTACAGGATGTATCCCGTTAGGCCGGTCTAACCGATCAATCAGCCCAATGGGAATTTATTTTCCCATTGGGCGGATTGATTTCATAGAAAAACTATTCAAATGGTCATACCTGCAGCGTTGTCTGATGCGTGGTCTGTGTTGGGAAGTGCTTGTTGGCTGTGAACACAGCTATCGCCGCGCCTGTCGCATCGCGTGTAGGCTGTGGACAATCAAAAACTAATTAACATCACATTTTAATTATATTAATAACAAACTGTTCCCGTGCTTCTTAAACATGCAATTTTAAAAACTTTATTTTATTGGTTTTATTTGTGAAATGTCTAAATCCAAATGATAAAGAAGGCTTTTGCCATTGGATAACAATTACCGTTACTATGGCAACCTTACTTCCTTTTTGTAAGCTTGTAGTTTTTGTTCCTTTCCCGTATGACGGTTTTTTATTTCAAATAATTCACCCCCTTAAGTTCAATAGCATGAATATATAGCATAGCTTTTTAATAAGAAAGGATCATTCAAAAACATGCTGTTGCTGACATCCTAGTTAACTAGGTAGTGTGTGTTTACGCTTTATTTTATTAGTATAGAGTAGAAATAGATAATAGTCATTTTCTTCTACGAAGACATACATAGACTAATATTTCGAGATCCACGAGAAACCCCAAGACCGACAGATTCAACAGAAATTGTTAAGTGCGGTTAATTTTGAAGAATTGAGTTATCCCAAACAAAGTGTAACGATGGGACAGAAAACTAATTAATTACGAATGACCCACTCGCCGGATTCATTTTATTTTACGACAAAAAGTTGAAAAAAAAAGCATTGACCCAAATACGACGGATGATTCAATCCAATATCGCGCTAAAAATTGCGAAATATTTATTACTTTCCGATGTCAGTCGTATTATTTAAAATCCAATAAACTGTATAAATAAGTTAGACATTTGAATATTAAAAAAAACTGGCTGTAGAGGTCAATGAACTCAAATTTTTATTAAACGAGTACTTTCGATCACAAGACATAATAGATTTACTACGTCTTCTTCAAGGATACCAAACTAATCAAGAGGAAAATGTTAACCTAATTTAATCTTAGACTACCTACCAATATCGTAAATTTTCCAGTGGCAAGTTCTGATTTGAGAGGATCTTCGAAGGGCGAGAACTTGTTGAGACCCTCTCTTCGTCGAGTTG